TTTTTTTTTTTTTTTTTTTTTTTTTTTTTTTTTTTTTTTTTTTTTTTTTTTTTTTTTTTTTTTTTTTTTTTTTTTTTTTTTTTTTTTTTTTTTTTTTTTTTTTTTTTTTTTTTTTTTTTTTTTTTTTTTTTTTTTTTTTTTTTTTTTTTTTTTTTTTTTTTTTTTTTTTTTTTTTTTTTTTTTTTTTTTTTAAAAAAACCTTAACTCTGAATATTAAGATTGAAGGTTATAATGTCCTCCCAGGAACCCAACCTTTAGCCTTAGTTTATAGAATTTACTATAAGGTTATAGGCACCAATATGAACTTCCAAGCCCTGAACAAAAGCCCAAAAGACCAAACTGTCCTAATCCAGAGTCACACTTCAGATGCCCATGTCACAATTCCTCAAACAATTAAGTGGTCAGAAGTTACCCTTCCAAAAGATTGGACCCTAGTCACTGAAAGTCAGCCAATCCAATGAAGTCTAAACAATTTAGATTACATTCACCAATACTTGGATGGCACAGTAAAGATAAAATTTGAAAATCAGCCTCCACCTAAGTCTAATGTGCAGTTACATCAGTTGCCGACCCTAGGTCAATCTCAAAGGCATGCCCCTACAAGGCATTCCTTTACCGCCTCATCCTCAACTCTAGAACGAGACCTAGAGTTAGAAAAAGCCATGATAGATTTCAAACTTGAGTCCTTGAGAAAATCCTCCCAGGTTAACCAACCTTGCTACGGTAAGGCACCAGTTCAAGATGATAAATCTGAGCCACCTGAGTCACCTACACAATCTGACTTTATTGTTGCAGGATTTGCAGTTGATAATAAGATAAGAATGCTTAATAGAAAGTTTGTAATTAATTGGAAAGCCTTAGATTGCCACCTTAGAGCCCCAGAAAACCAAAATAGAAGAAATAGTTTTCATCAAGCCTATCCAGATAAAGAAAGCCGCCAACAAATCTTTAATGAATGGAAAATTACATACGGTCAGCCAAAGTTGAAATTTACTACCTTGATTTCGTAGAAAGCCGATATATGACTAGTGAGTTAAAAACATTGACTAAAGAAAAATGGAAAATGATAGATAAAACACAAGTTGAGTCTAGTCACCCCCCGGTTGACACGATAATAATCAATTACAAAGATATGCCCATTCCGGCCAGTCCTTTCAAAACCTTTGAGACTAGTGATTCGAATAGAAGATTAATTGAGCAAAATAATTACACCAATCAAAGTCTAGTCGTCATAGGAAAGCAGTTAGACACAATTGAAACAAAGATTGATAAGCTCAAACCTCAAGAAAGCAAGTCTAAACCCAGAATTGAAAAACCAATAGTTCATTTCCAGGATCTTAAGACAAGCCCTACCCTTAAGATCAAACCAACAATGAAGAAAATTGAAGAAATGCTAGAACAATTGACCCCAACCAAGCCTGAGAAATCTGGTGTCAAAGTTTTAGATTCCCTCAAAGTTAATTCCTCTGAGTCTGAGCCAGAGTCAATAACCAGCACTAATTCTGAGACTAGTAATATTTAAAAAATTCAAAATGCTTTTAAAAATTTGGAATTAGAAGTCACACCCAAAGTCAAAAGATTAGATCGCCAAGTTAACCCAACTAGTCTTACCAAAAATTGGTATCCAAGACCAACGCCCCCAGATATCCAATTCGAAGAAAGAAACTTTCAAACCTAGTTTTCAGTTTCTTCCGACAAATTCTATGAATGGAATATTGATGGTCTTTTTGAGCAGGAAATCCTTAATAAGCTTCAGCATATGTCCATGGTTGCTAATAGTTATATCACCAATCACAGTTTCAGACAGTCTGAAATTGTACCTCTGTTAGTTACTGGATTTATTGGTACTCTCATTATTGGTGGGATAAGCACCTAACCCCTAAGTCAAAAAATACGATAATACATGCAGTAAAACTTAATGAAGATGGTCTTCCTATATTTGACGAACAATTAGGTCAAGGTATAAAAGATGGAGTCAACACTCTATTTTACACGATAATTGACCATTTCATTGGAACTCCCAGTAACACTACTGCTAGAATACATGATCAACTCATGAGTAATCTTAGATGCCCAAAGTTGTCTGATTTCAGATGGTATAAAGATGCCTTCATTTCTAGAGTCATGCTTAGAGATGATAGTGATCAACCATTCTGGAAAGAAAAATTCGTTAATGGTCTTCCTAATCTGTTTGCCCACAAAATACATACAACCCTGAGAAATTTTACCCCAAGAAAATGTGGTCAAAAGCACCGAAAAGTAGTTGCTTTAAGAAAAATTCAAACAAAAGCAAAGTTAAATGTTTTAAATGTCAAAAGTTTGGTCATTATGCCTCTGAGTGCAAAGTAAAAGACATTATTAAACAGTTGAAGATCACGGATGAAGAAAAAGACAAGTTGATTGAAGTTTTAGAGTTGCGAAACTCTGAATCAAGTGAAGTTGAAACAATAGTTTCCAGCTCTAAGTCTGAAACCTACCAGTCTTCAGACCCCCAATCCAGTTCTCCCCGAGTCTAATTTGGTTGCAAAGATAAATTTTGTAATAGATTAGAATCTATTTCTGTTCTTACTAAACAGAAAGAACAAGGAGAGTTGTTAATAGATCTAATTAGTAAAGTTGAAAATCCTGAGTTGAAATCTGAGTATTTAAAGAAACTAAGGAAAGTTATAAGTCAAGAAAGCCCGAGTAAGTCCACTCCTCAGCCAATAAGTTTAAATACTACTTTAGAAAAGTTTAATCGTAAGAAAGAAGTTACCTTACAAGATCTGCAATTAGAAGTCAAATTAGTAAAAAAGGAAATAGTTGAATTAAAACAAATAAGTCACCAGTTGCAAGCCGAAAATTATGCAATTAAGCAAGATCTAGTTGATTTAAGAGAAAAAGAAAGTTATGAGTCTAGAAGCCAGCCTGAGAGTCCAAATAACTCTGATGATGAGCCTTCAAACAAAGAAAAATCCATTAGCCTAATAAGACAAGTCCACTTTAGAAAATGGTATTCTAAAGTCACGATATTTGTAAACAATTTTGAATTCAATACAGTTGCTTTATTTGACTCAAGAGCTGACCTTAATTGTATCCAGGAAGGTCTAATCCCTACTAAGTATTATAAGAAGTCAAGAGAAACCTTAAGCACTGCTTCAGGAAAATCACTCCAGCTGAACTATGAGCTGCCAAAAGCCCATGTTTGTCAAAACAAAGTTTGTTTTAAGACCTCGTTCGTCCTAGTCAAAAATATTACTGACGAAGTCATCGTAGGATTACCTTTCATCGCCCTGTTATACCCTTTCTAGGTAGAATATGACGGTGTTAATTCCATCCATTTAGGAGAAAAAGTCAGAGTTGCATAACCTGAAAGCCCTCCAAAAGAATTCTGTTTCAAAAACAATTGCTTTAATAAATAACAAGCATAAGTAGGTAACTTCCCTTAAAGAAGAAGTTAAATTCAAAAGAATTGAACAACAGCTTAAAAATGAGTCCTTACAGTTGCAAATTCAACACTTTGAGAATAAACTGAAAAATGAAATTTGTTCTTATTTGCCTAATGCTTTTTGGTATAGGAAACAACATGTTGTTAGTCTTCCTTATGTCAAAACCTTTAGTGAGAAAAATATTCCTACTAAAGCCAGGCCAATTCAGATGAGTCAAGAAATAATGGAATTTTGTAAGAAAGAAATTCATGAGTTGCTGCAAAAGAAAATAATTCGCAAAAGTAAATCCCCCTGGTCTTGCCCTGCTTTCTATGTCCAGAAAAATGCTGAATTAGAAAGAGGAGTCCCAAGATTAGTTATCAATTATAAGCCCATTAATTCGGTCTTAGAATGGATTAGGTACCCCATACCTAACAAACGAGACTTAATTAACCGATTAGATAAAGTAGTTATCTTCTCCAAGTTCGACATGAAGAGTGGTTTCTGGCAAATCCAAATAGAGGAGTCAGATAGATATAAGACGGCATTTGTCACCCCTTTTGGTCATTACGAATGGAATGTAATGCCTTTTGGATTGAAAAATCCATCCAGTGAGTTTCAAAATATTACGAATGAAATCTTTAATCCCTATAGCCATTTCTCAATTGTCTATATTGATGATGTTCTAATCTTTTCCCAGTCCTTAGAACAGCATTGGAAGCATTTGCATAAGTTCCTCCAAATTGTCAAAACTAATGGTTTGGTTGTTTCTGCTAGAAAGATCAAGTTGTTTCAAACTAATGTTCGATTTCTTGGTTTCAATATCTTCCAGTCACAGATTCAGCCAATAGATCGAGTTATCCAGTTTGCTGATAAATTTCCTGATCAAATCCTTGATAGAAGTCAACTTCAGAGATTTTTAGGATCTCTAAATTATGTTTCTGATTTTTATCAAAACCTGAGAAAACAGTGTAAGCCTTTGTTTGATAGGCTGCAGAGTAATCCTCCTCCTTGGTCGAACACTCACACTGAAATTGTCAAACAGATCAAAGTTCATGTCAAGACACTCCCCTGTCTTGGTATTCCTTCAGTAAATTCTTTCAAAATAGTTGAAACTGATGCCTCTAACATAGGTTATGGTGGCATTCTTAAGCAAAGAGTCAGTCCAAACTCTCCAGAACAAATCATTCGTTTCCATTCTGGAATTTGGACCCAGTCGCAATATAATTATAGTACTATTAAAAAAGAAATATTAGCTATTGTATTATGCATTAGTAAATTCCAAGATGATTTGCTTAATCAAAAGTTTTTAATACGAGTTGACTGTAAGTCTGCAAAACATGTTTTAGAAAAGGATGTTCAAAACATTGCTTCTAAACAGATTTTTGCATGATGGCAAAGCATTTTAAGTATATTTGATTTTGATATTGAATATTTGAGAGGTAGTGAGAATTCAATCCCTGATTTTCTTACTCGAGAATTCCTGCAGGATACACAATGGCACCCAAAAAGGATAAACAAAAAGAAACAGCCAATCAACCCAAGTCCTCCCAGTCCAAGTCATCCCAATCGCTCCAAATCCTCCCTCCATCCATGAGTCAAGTCAAGCCAGAGTTGCCTAAACAGTTGATTCCTTTCCCAGGTCACACTTCAATCTCAATTGCTACCCCAATTTCAGTTGCCAACAGATTCTTCAGTCTTGATTCTACAGTAGGACAAATCCGCCCAAGTTATCAGTCGACCCTGATCTCTAGTTATGATCCTTTCTCAGTTGATCCCTCAGTTGGCCCTTCAGTTGCTTTCAAAAAGACATCCCCTTATTTGCCCAAATGTAACTCTCACTTGTTTGTCATTGAGCCCAATTATGATGTTCATTCATATCCAATTGCCATAGCCAAACACTATTTCCCTCCAGGATTTCACTATATGCCTCCAAGTCCTTACAAGTCCCTCAAGTATTATAGAGATATACTACTTGAAACTCAATCAGTTGAAATTAAGCCGATAAAGGATCGTGATCACCCTGAGACCATCCTTTATCATTCCATGTATATCCACAAAATTATGAGTCACGAGTCTTTCAGTAGCCACCCTTATGAATTGAAAACCCTCGAGCCAAAATTGCAATATAATTACTCTGATTATATTGAAGCCTGGTATTCTATTCTCCTCCATCAATCTGGGGATTTTAGTCATTCCTGATTTATTAATTTTGACAACAAGTTCAAATGTTCTTTTCCTTGCTGGTTCCTCCACTGGTGGGAAAAACATGGCCCAATCGTTGAAATTCTGCCTGTTTCAATCCATGAGTTAATTCGCCATTTCACCAAGAAAGCCAAATTCTCCAAATTTGATATATTCTTCCCCAAACAGTTGCTTTTCATTGCCAGATACAAAGTTCCTTGGATACTCAAATGGCCCTACAAGGTTACCAAGGATACCAGAATATTTGCCCGACAATTTTCTGTTAAATGGTGGGATAAGTTCGAAGTTGACAGAATTGCTAAATACGTCTATAATGATTTGCTCCATGATTTTGCTCCGCCTCCAACTTCCCCCACTGGTTCAACCAAATCTTCCCTTTCAGTCGAGGGAAAATCAAAGTCTGACCTACAGGAGATTGCTCGCCAGTTGATAATTCAAGCTTCCCAAATGGATGATGATGATGAGTATGACAATGATAATGACTCTCCTTCTTCGTCCAGTTGCCAGCCCATGCAGAGCCCTGCTAAGCCTAAAAGTTGGTACGAAGATAGTCAAGACTCCTATGATGCCTATGATTTGAATTCTAATTAGGCTCCTAGTTGCTGACACAATAATAGAATGTGATTGAAAGCAACTTGTTAAAGCAGCCGCCGTGCTTTCTCGTGCCTCTACAGTCAATATTCCCCGACACTTCACCCTGAGTGAAAGCAAAAGTTGTTGAGTAAAAGTTATTCCTTCAAAAAGACAAAATTGAAAGTTGAATTAGGTTGTCCCCATGCCTCCACAGTTGCCTCCACAGTTGAATCATTATCAGAATTGCTTTCGGTTACCAAAGTTGCTTTCCAAGTTACCTTAGTTGCTTTTGTTTACCGTGGTTACTTTCCACAATTGTCTTTGCTTATTTAAGCTGGCTTAGGCCTCAGTTGTAATCAGGCTATATTTCATTTCAGTTTTTTAAAGATTTCCTCTGAAATCCTTTTGGAGAAATCATCTTTGTAAACACTGAGTGTTCTTGTACCTGAACTGAAAAGATTTCAGCAGTTCCTGTCTGAACCTCTTGTGAGTATAAATAAAAGTTGTATTTTGAAATATCTCTATTTTGAGTATTTTATTTTATAAGAATTATTTTGACAATGATTTTCTAGTTTAGGATTTCTGAGTTGAAGTTCTTAGTTTCTTTTTTCTTTCTTTCATTCTTCAGGATACTTCTTGGTTTTCTCCCTTAAGGTCTGACCCGTGAGTCCTTTTTCCAAACGATAAGGACCGGGGTGTGGCACGAGCGGTGGGCAGGAGACAGAGAGTTAGGGAGAATATCGATAGGTTTCTTGTAGGATAAAAGTTAGTTTAGAAGTTACTATTTATCCCCTTCTTCAGTCCTCCAACCCATACACTTGAGCAAAATGAGTCGCCTCTTTAGAACAAATTCTAGTAGTTCGAAGTTCTAGAACCCCTATAGGACGCTTACCTGAAATAGTAAATGAAGAACAATTTGAGTATAATTCTAATAATGATAATGAACAATTAGAGTTTAGAGACTGGAATATACCTAAAATCCCTAGTCAAAATATTTATAAGAAAAAATGGTCTTTATCTGCATTTAATTCAACTACACATGTTAAAACAGTAGAACAAGTTTATGCTTTAAGTAAAGAACATGAGTCTTGTCAATTACTTAATTTGGATTCTATTAAAAAACACAAGCATGATGGTAATAATTTTCTGCATATTGGTCTTGTTCAAGTTGTTGTTAAGCCATTAACTAGATTAGGATTACAAGCTTCCATTCTGTTATGTTTACGTGATGCTAGATTTACTGAATTTAATGATAGCGTGCTTGGAATGATTGAGTCCAGTTTATGTAATGGTCCAGTACATTTTGATTGTTATCCTGATTTTTCTGTCAGCCTAAATGATCCTCATATTCTTAAGACCCTTACCTTAAATATTAAGACTTTCGGTTATAATGTCCTTCCAGGTACCCAACCCTTGGCATTAGTTTATAGAATTTATTACAAGGTTACAGGTACAAATATGAATTTTCAAGCTTTAAATAAAAGTCCTAAAGATCAGACACTTCTAATACAGAGTTATACGCCTGATGCTAATATAAGAATCCCACACACTGTTAAATGGTCTGAAATTAGTTTGCCTAAAGATTGGACCTTAGTTACTGAATCTCAACCTGCTCCTATCCAACGCAGTTTGAATAATTTAGATTATATTCAACAATATTTAGATGGTACAGTCAAAATTAACTTCGGTAATGAGCCCAAATCCACAGTTCGATTACAACAATTACCCACACCAAGCCCATATAAGAGACATGAGCCAGCTAGACATTCATTTACAACCTCTTCCTCTACCCAGGAAAGAGATCTAGAAATAGAAAGAGACCTGATAGACCTCAAATTACATTCTTTAAGAAAAAAGGCCCAAGTTAATCAACCTTGTTATGGAACTTTGCCTGTTCCAGTCAATCAGCCCAAACCGGAGTCTCCCCCTACCTCACCTACCCAAACAGATTTCTTACCAAGTGAGATAGCTGCCGCCCACGCTTATGACATAGATAAACAACTGCAAGTCCTTAAAAAACCTGAGCCATTTTAGATTAACTGGAGAGCCCTAGATAAGCACCTTTATGACCCTAGTAATAAAAGCAGAAGAGATATATATCACCAAATTATTCCTGATAAAAATGTGAGACAAGAAATATTCAATGCATGGAAAAACTATATGCGTTCTGAGAAAATGGAAATTTATTATCTTGATTTTGTAGAAAGCCGTTATATTCCAAATGAGCTAAAAACTTTAGCTACAGAAAAATGGATAAAATTAGATCAATCTGAGATTATTTCTAGTCACCCTCCTGTGGAAACTATTATTATTAAACATGGAACGAGAACTATAGTTGCAAGTCCTTTTAAGATGACTGATCCGGTCGATGAGCCCAATAAACGATTAGTTGAACAAAATAATTATACTAATCAAAGCATAGTTATAGTAGGAAAACAGTTAGATAACATAGAAAATAAAGTTGATAAGTTATTTCCTCCCGAACCTAAGCTTAAAACAAAAGACAAACCTCTAGTCCAGTTCCAAGAATTGCAGCCTAAGTTCTCTCTTAAGACATCATCTACAATGAAAAAGATAGAAAGTATTCTTGAGCAATTAACTCCCGCCAAAACTGAGAAATCTGGTCTTAAAGTCATAGGATCTTCCTTTGCCAACCAGTCAGAAACTTATTCTGAGTCAAATACAGAGTCTATTGAGTCAAGCAATATTTTAAAAACCTAGAATTAGAATCTGAATTAAAATTAAAAAGACTAACTAATAAAATTAATCCTACTAGCATAACAAAAAATTGGTACCCTAAGCCTACACCGCCCGATATTCAGTTTGAAGAAAGAAATAATTTAAGCCAATTTTCTGTTTCTTCTGATAAATTATATGAATGGAATATAGATGGTTTATCTGAACAAGAAATAATGAATAAATTAACTCACATGTCCATAGTAGCTAACAGTTATATTACTAATCATAACCTACGCCAATATGAAATAGTTCCTTTGTTAGAAACAGGTTTTACAGGAACCTTACGTTCTTGGTGGGATAAGCATTTATCTAATGAGTCTCGAAATGATATTATTCATGCAATAAAACTTAATGAAGAAGGTCTTCCTTTGTTCGATGAGAATATAGGTCGTGGCATAGAAGATGGTGTCAATACTCTCCTTTACACAATAGTTGAGCATTTTATAGGAACACCAAGTCATACTCAGTCCAGAATACATGATCAATTGAGTAATTTAAGATGCCCTCAATTAAGTGATTTTAGATGGTATAAAGATGTTTTTATTTCCCGAGTTATGCTAAGAGAAGATAGTAACCAAGCCTTTTGGAAAGAAAAATTTATTAATGGATTACCTAATTTATTCGCTCATAAAATACGCACTGTCTTAAGCAATGAGTTAGGTCATATAGATTATGATAATTTAACATATGGTAATATTATTAGTACAATTAATCAAGAAGGCATGAAAATGTGTATTGACATGAAAATTAATCGACACATACAATCTGAAAGAAAGTCTGCCAAATATGAATTAGGTAATTTTTGTGAGCAGTATGGTTTATTTACCCCTCCCTCTAGAAAAAATAAATACAGCTCCCCTAGCCATATAAAAAAAAAAAAAAAAAAAAAAAAATTCATTATAGCACCCATACCTACAAGATAATGAGTTTTATAAGAAAAGGAAGTTTCACCCTAAGAAAAATTGGTCCAAAAGACCAAAAGATAAGAAAAGCACTGACAAAAGTACAGTTAGATGTTATAAATGTCAAAAGTTTGGTCATTATGCTAATAAGTGTAAAGTAAAAGATGCTATCCGACAATTACAAATCACGGATGAAGAAAAAGCTAAATTGATTAAAGTTCTTGAACTGCGAAATTCTGAGTCTAGTGAAGATGTAACCATGGTAGGCCAATCTGAGTCATCCCATTATGAGTTTTCTGATTCCCAACCAAGTTCGCCAGATATCCAAATAGGATGTAAAGACAATGTTGTAATACTCTTAAGTCCATTTCTGTGTTAACTAAGCAAGAAGAACAAGAAGAATTATTAATCGAATTAATTAGCAAAATCGAACATCCTGAGTTAAAATCTGAGTACTTCACAAAACTAAAGAAAATTATCGCCCAAGAAAATACAACTTTTATTTATACTCACAAGAGGTTCAGACAGGAACTGCTGAAATCTCTTCGGTTCAAGTACAAGAACACTCAGTGTTTACAAAGATGATTTCTCCAAAAGGATTTAAGAGGAAATCTTTAAAAAACTGAAATGAAAATGTAGCCTGATTACAACTTAGGCCTAAGCCAACTTAAATAAGCAAAGACAACTGTGGAAAGTAACCATGGTAAACAAAAGCAACTAAGGTAACTTGGAAAGAAACTTTGGTAACCGAAAGCAATTCTGATAATGAGTCAACTGTGGAGGCAACTATGGAGGCATGGGGACAACCCAATTCAACTTTCAATTTTGTCTTTTTGAAGGAATAACTTTTACTCAGCAACTTTTGCTTTCACTCAGGGTGAAGTGTCGGGGAATATTGACTGTAGAGGCACGAGAAAGCAGGGCGACTGCTTTAACAAGATACTTTCAATCACATTCTCCGGGGCAATTATTGTGTCAGCAACTAGGAGCCTAATCAGAATTCAAATCATAGGCATCATAGGGGTCTTGACTATCTTCGTACCAACTTTTAGGCTTAGCAGGGCTCTGCATGGGCTGGCAACTGGACGAAGAAGGAGAGTCAGTGTCATTGTCATTCTCCTCATCATCATCCATTTGGGAAGCTTGAATTATCAACTGGCAAGCAATCTCCTGTAGGTCAGACTTTGATTTTCCCTCGACTGAAAGGGAAGATTTGGTTGAACCAGTGGGGGAAGTTGGAGGCGGAGCAGAATCATGGGGCAAATCATTGTAGACGTATTTAGCAATTCTGTCAACTTCGAACTTATCCCACCATTTAACAGAAAATTGTCGAGCAAATATTCTGGTATCCTTGGTAACCCTGTAGGACCATTTGAGGATCCAAGGAACTTTGTATCTGGTAATGAAAAGCAACTGTTTGGGGGAAGAATATATCAAATTTGGAGAATTTGGCTTTCTTGGTGAAATGGCGAATTAACTCATGGATTGAAATAGGCAGAATTTCATCGACTGGGCCATGTTTTCCCCACCAGTGGAGGAACCAGCAAGGAAAAGAACATTTGAACTTATTGTCAAAATTAATAAATCAGAAATGACTAAAATCCCTAGATTGATGAAGGAGAATAGAATATCAGGCTTCAATATAATCAGAGTAATTATACTGCAATTTTGACTGAAGGGTTTTCAATTCATAAGGGTGGCTACTGAAAGACTCTTGACTCATAATTTTGTGGATATACATGGAATGATAAAGGATGGTCTCAGGGTGATCACGATCCTTTATCGGCTTAATTTCAACTGATTGAGTTTCAAGTAGCATATCTCTATAATACTTGAGGGACTTGTAAGGACTTGGAGGCATATAGTGAAATCCTAGAGGGAAATAGTGTTTGGCTATGGCAATTGGATATGAATGAACATCATAATTGGGCTCAATGACAAACAAGTGAGAGTTACTTTGGGCAAATAAGGGGATGTCTTTTTGAAAGCAACTGAAGGGCCAATTGAGGGATCAACTGAGAAAGGATCATAACTGGAGATCAGGGTCGACTGATAACTTGGGCGGATTTGTCCTACTGTAGAATCAAGACTGGAGAATCTGTTGGCAACTGAAATTGGGGTAGCAACTGAGATTGAAGTGTGACCTGGGAAAGGAATCAACTGTTTAGGCAACTCTGGCTTGACTTGACTCATGGATGGAGGGAGGATTCGAAGCGACTGGGATGACTTGGACTGGGAGGACTTGGGTTGATTGGCTGTTTCTTTTTGTTTATCCTTTTTGGGTGCCATTGTGCATCCTGCAGGAATTCTCGAGTAAGAAAATCAGGGATTGAATTCTCACTACCTCTTAAATATTCAATATCAAAATCAAATATACTTAAAATGCTTTGCCATCATGCAAAAATCTGTTTAGATGCAATGTTTTGAACATCCTTTTCTAAAACATGTTTTGCAGACTTACAGTCAACTCGTATTAAAAACTTTTGATTAAGCAAATCATCTTGGAATTTACTAATGCATAATACAATAGCTAATATTTCTTTTTTAATAGTACTATAATTATATTGCGACTGGGTCCAAATTCCATAATGGAAACGAATGATTTGTTTTGGAGAATTTGGACTGACTCTTTGCTTAAGAATGCCACCATAACCTATGTTAGAGGCATCAGTTTCAACTATTTTGAAAGAATTTACTGAAGGAATACCAAGACAGGGGAGTGTCTTGACATGAACTTTGATCTGTTTGACAATTTCAGTGTGAGTGTTCGACCAAGGAGGAGGATTACTCTGCAGCCTATCAAACAAAGGCTTACACTGTTTTCTCAGGTTTTGATAAAAATCAGAAACATAATTTAGAGATCCTAAAAATCTCTGAAGTTGACTTCTATCAAGGATTTGATCAGGAAATTTATCAGCAAATTGGATAACTCGATCTATTGGCTGAATCTGTGACTGGCAGATATTGAAACCAAGAAATCGAACATTAGTTTGAAACAACTTGATCTTTCTAGCAGAAACAACTAAACCATTAGTTTTGACAATTTGGAGGAGCTTATGAAATGCTTCCAATGCTGTTCTAAGGACTGGGAAAAGATTAGAACATCATCAATATAGACAATTGAGAAATGGCTATAGGGATTAAAGATTTCATTCATAATATTTTGAAACTCACTGGGTGCATTTTTCAATCCAAAAGGCATTACATTCCATTCGTAATGACCAAAAGGGGTGACAAATGCCGTCTTATATCTATCTGACTCCTCTATTTGGATTTGCCAGAAACCACTCTTCATGTCGAACTTGGAAAAGATAACTGCTTTATCCAATCGGTTAATTAAGTCTCGTTTGTTAGGTATGGGGTACCTAATCCATTCTAAGACCGAATTAAGGGGCTTATAATTGATAACTAATCTTGGGACTCCTCTTTCTAATTCAGCATTTTTGTGGACATAGAAAGCAGGGCAAGACCAAGGGATTTACTTTTGCAAATTATTTTCTTTTGCAGCAACTCATGAATTTCTTTCTTACAAAATTCCATTATTTCTTGACTCATCTGAATTGGCCTGGCTTTAGTAGGAATATTTTTCTCACTAAAGGTTTTGACATAAGGAAGACTAACAACATGTTGTTTCCTATACCAAAAAGCATTAGGCAAAACAAAACAAATTTCATTTTTAGTTTATTCTCAAAGTGTTGAATTTGCAACTGTAAGGACTCATTTTTAAGCTGTTGTTCAATTCTTTTGAATTTAACTTCTTCTTTAAGGGAAGTTACCTACTTATGCTTGTTATTTATTAAAGCAATTGTTTTTGAAACAGAATTCTTTTGGAGGGCTTTCAGGTTTGCAACTCTGGTTTAGACAGAAACTCAAACTTGACTTTTTCTCCTAAATGGATGGAATTAACACCGTCATATTCTACCTAGAAAGGGTATAACAGGGCGATGAAAGGTAATCCTACGATGACTTCGTCAGTAATATTTTTGACTAGGACGAATGAGGTCTTAAAACAAACTTTGTTTTGACAAACATGGGCTTTTGGCAGCTCATAGTTCAACTGGAGTGATTTTCCTGAAGCAGTGCTTAAGGTTTCTCTTGACTTCTTATAATACTTAGTAGGGATTAGACCTTCCTGGATACAATTAAGGTCGGCTCTTGAGTCAAATAAAGCAACTGTATTGAATTCAAAATTGTTTACAAATATCGTGACTTTAGAATACCATTTTTTAAAGTGGACTTGTCTTATTAGGCTAATGGATTTTTCTTTGTTTGAAGGCTCATCATCAGTTATTTGGACTCTCAGGCTGGCTTCTAGACTCATAACTTTCTTTTTCTCTTAAATCAACTAGATCTTGCTTAATTGCATAATTTTCGGCTTGCAACTGGTGACTTATTTGTTTTAATTCAACTATTTCCTTTTTTACTAATTTGACTTCTAATTGCAGATCTTGTAAGGTAACTTCTTTCTTACGATTAAACTTTTCTAAAGTAGTATTTAAACTTATTGGCTGAGGAGTGGACTTACTCGGGCTTTCTTGACTTATAACTTTCCTTAGTTTCTTTAAATACTCAGATTTCAACTCAGGATTTTCAACTTTACTAATTAGATCTATTAACAACTCTTCTTGTTCTTTCTGTTTAGTAAGAACAGAAATAGATTCTAATCTATTACAACATTTATCTTTGCAACCAAATTAGACTCGGGGAGAACTGGATTTGGGGTCTGAAGACTGGTAGGTTTCAGACTCAGAGCTGGAAACTATTGTTTCAACTTCACTTGATTCAGAGTTTCGCAACTCTAAAACTTCAATCAACTTGTCTTTTTCTTCATCCGTGATCTTCAACTGTTTAATAATGTCTTTTACTTTGCACTCAGAGGCATAATGACCAAACTTTTGACATTTAAAACATTTAACTTTGCTTTTGTTTGAATTTTTCTTAAAGCAACTACTTTTCGGTGCTTTTGGCCACTTTTTCTTGGGGTAAAATTTCTTTTTCTTATAAAACTCATTACTATCATCATTATGTCGGAATGATTGTTTCCTGCGCGAATAATGACGATTCTTGTGTATATGGCTGGGGTAACTAGACTTATGTTTTCTAGATGGGGGAACACTGGTTAGACCATACTGTTCACAGAAATTTCCTAACTCATATTTAGCGGATTTTCTATCGGACTGTATTTGTCTACCAATTTTAAAATCGACACACATTTTCCTACCAACTTGATTAATCGTGCTTATTATATTGTCATATGTCAAACTATTCCAATCTATATGCCCTTGCTCATTACTCAGGGTTGTACGTATTTTGTGGGCAAACAGATTAGGAAGACCATTAACGAATTTTTCTTTCCAGAATGGTTGATCACTATCATCTCTAAGCATGACTCTAGAAATGAAGACATCTTTATACCATCTGAAATCAGACAACTTTGGGCATCTAAGATTACTGAGTTGATCATGTATTCTAGCAGTAGTGTTACTGGGAGTTCCAATGAAATGGTCAATTATCGTGTAAAACAGAGTGTTGACTCCATCTTCTATACCTTGACCTAATTGTTCGTCAAATATAGGAAGACCATCTTCATTAAGTTTTACTGCATGTATTATCGTATTTTTTGACTCAGGCGTTAGGTGCTTATCCCACCAATATATGAGAGTACCAGTAAATCCAGTAACTAATAGAGGTACAATTTCAGACTGTCTTAATATTGATTCTTTGGAGGACATTATAACCTTTTTTTTTTTTTTTTTTTTTTTTTTTTTTTTTTTTTTTTTTTTTTTTTTTTTTTTTTTTTTTTTTTTTTTTTTTTTTTTTTTTTTTTTTTTTTTTTTTTTTTTTTTTTTTTTTTTTTTTTTTTTTTTTTTTTTTTTTTTTTTTTTTTTTTTTTTTTTTTTTTTTTTTTTTTTTTTTTTTTTTTTTTTTTTTTTTTTTTTTTTTTTTTTTTTTTTTTTTTTTTTTTTTTTTTTTTTTTTTTTTTTTTTTTTTTTTTTTTTTTTTTTTTTTTTTTTTTTTTTTTTTTTTTTTTTTTTTTTTTTTTTTTTTTTTTTTTTTTTTTTTTTTTTTTTTTTTTTTTTTTTTTTTTTTTTTTTTTTTTTTTTTTTTTTTTTTTTTTTTTTTTTTTTTTTACAATGCTTCATATCATTACATGAAAAATTATTTTATGTAAAAATATTGGCTCAGTATGAAAATGGGTTTTTTAGAATAATCTTCTTTCTCAAAATTTTTGGCGGCTTTTCTTCCTTACACATCAAATAGAAAACTTAATTTGATGGGATTTCAGTATGAAGTATATATGGAACTTAATAAGCCATAATTTTTTAGTCTAAATCGTATTTTGCAATAAAACCAAATTTTCATATTTTGATTTTGGTGGAAATTTAATTTCTAGTATTTTTATGTGAATCCAAATGGGGGGGGTACTCCTTATTTACATTCGTTTTACTTTCATTTATTTTATATTACTCCGTTTTGAAAATGAAAATAAATAATGAATCACATCATCTACCCATACTTCATAATAATAAATAATAATAATAATAAATGCAGAAAAATTGCTACCTCTTCTCTTTCACGCCAATAACTTGCCCTTTTTTCCCCTTTCACTTTATGTCTTGTGTTGCACAATTTGCCTCTTTTTTTCCACACCTCTCATATTTGTCAACATCTACTACCCTACCTACCAATATTCATCCCTTTGTCTCTCTGTCTATTTCCTCGTAGACACTCTCTCTTTGTCATTGTTTACCTTTTCTAATCTTTATTCCCTCTCGGTCCCGAGTCCACTCCTCTCTTTCGGTGGTCTCCCTTACTTTTGTGCTATCTTCTCACATCAGTATTTTCTCTCCTTTTTCGGTTCCGCACCTCCTTTTCTTCTGCTAATCTCATTTTAAAATGAGTGCTGTTATTTCCACCCACCTGTCCTATTTTCCCACTCACCTTATCTTCCCACCCACATATAAATTTGCAAAAACATAATCCTATTTTTCCACCCACCATTATCATAAAATATCCTTTATGGTGCATCCCACCATTGTTTTTGTAAATCATCCATAATCAAAGTATGAATTTAAATACTGAACAATAGTTTGGGAGTTGTCTGCGTAGATAGAAACTGAGGAATTGAAAACTAACTTCAAATTTGGGAAGAGTTAAAATTTTGAAGATAATGTGGGTGGAGAAATAGGATAAAAGGGGTAGAAATAGCAGCACTCTTTAAAATTGGCCACATGCCTTTCCCATGCTTTACCTTTTAGGTTAAAGGGAAATACCACTAAATACCACCCATAATTAAACTTAATCTGCAAATATCACCCTTGGCCACACATTTTGCAAATACAATCTATAAATCATACATGAAAAACAATAAAAGAGAAATTAAACTAAACTAAATGACTATGAATATACCGATAGCGAGTGTAATCGTCGTGGTGCAACAAACCATGCTGCATCTGAGCAGATCAAGAGATGCAATACTGTAAAAATCAAATTAGGTTTCCAACACCTAATATGAGAAACAAGCTTCAAAATCTCCTCATCACGCTCATCAAAACCCTCGCACTCCCTCACATCCAGAAGCACAAGCTCTCTGCACTCCTTTAGCAACATCACAAGATCGTTCTTCTCCAGGCATGACAGCCTGAAGCACAGGTGCTTCAAATGAATTATTTACAATCAGAAATAACTTATTAAAACACAAATGCACATACAATTAAAAGATAATTCCCCACCCCACCCCCCCCCAAAAAAAAAAAAAAAAAAAAAAAAAAAAAAAACCAAAAAAAAAAAAACAAAAAAACAAAAAGAACCCACCCACCCAATAACACAACTACTAGTTAGTCAAAAAATGACTGACTTTTGCCTTTTTTCGTTTTTGGTGTCAATTCTGCCGACACTTACTTTTTTATTCTTCTTCTGCTCCTTTTCTCTTTCATTTTCCTATCACCACCAACGTTCATCTTTTTTTCTTCTTCTTCTTCTTCATAATACCCAAACTCGTGGGTACTATTCATCACTCTAGAAGTCCAATTTCGAAAGCTCAAATAAAAAATCTTCATTCATCAAAGTTGTTCATCTGTTCTGTTCGAATACTATAACATACCCAAACATGAGCATCATCAACCGGTCTAGCTACCTCGAACCGGCTATGACATTTCTATGTTTATCCATGGCTGGTGAGTTTTCTGCAGCTCGGTTTTCAACAGTTTTCTTTAATCTCCATTGCTTGTTTGACAAAACGTCCTTCTCTAAGGTTGTTCCTCAGTTGGAGAACTTTGACATCCAAAAATCAGAGCAATCCAACTACTCTAGCGATGTCTGTGGTAAGCATGTTCGTCACTTCCTCGGATTCTGCTGTTATCACTGTACAGTACCTTATTCACTCTTGTATGTCACTTTTCCCTTGCTCAGACGACAATACTTCCTTCATGAAGCTTGTTCAGAATTCTTTTCTCTACAATATATCCAAAAATAGTGGCAGTCCAACAAGTGTAGCTTTCTCGGCAGTGGTACACCTGAAACAAGCTTTTGTTAGTTTTCAAGTGTTGTTTGAATTGGTTATTTCTGTTTGGGAGCTTCACGTAGGATTTCGGACCAATATTAAGGTAAAGTTTTAAGATGCTTTGATTTCTGGAAATTTGTGTCTGAGTTGTTGGCCGAAGCCGAATTTGAAAGTGGAAGAACCAAAAGATAATTTAAAATAAGTATATGTAAAGTGAAAATAAAGGAAAATGTAAGGACCAAAGTGAATTATGGATAAGTCTGAAGACTGAATTGTATTGGAAAAGTATAGGGGCCAAAGTGGAAATAAAGAAAAGTATAAGGACAAAAGTGAAATTATTGACACGTGTGAGGACTAAAGTTCAATTAAAGCTAGTTATAATGACTAAATTGCAAATAAGGGTTTTTAGTAACATTTTTGAAATGTTGGCCTAGGAATCAGTTGCCCAAGCAAGAACAATTTGAGTTCAAAGGTGTAGAATTCAAGTGAGCATTAGCTTTGGATTCCAGGTAGGGGGACTCACTCCCAGACTTGTATTTTGTGTATGAATGACATTGTATATATTGTTGTGTGCGAAAACGAAAACTGTAATGTTTGTGATTGCCTAATTAACACTTTAGTTTTCTTTATTTTCTTTACTTGTTTTTTGGGTTGGGTGAGCAAAACACAAGTGGTTCCTTTACAGTTGAGTAGGAAAACTCTTGTTAGTAACTTTAGTAATATTCTTTCTTTATTTTGGGGGATTAAGGTCCTGTTTGTTTACTTTCTCCGGTTTCATTGCTTTTCTTCTTTTGCTTGTTCTATTTCTCCCATCTGGTATCAGAGCCATAAGAGTTGTAAGTTTTTGTCTAAGTCTCAACTCATCCAACCCAAGTGGCTGGTTTAGGTTTTTCTGAGTTGAAAGTCCTTAGTTTCTTTTTCCACTTCCTTTTATTTCTTCAGGTTACTTGTCGGTTCTCTCTCTTAGTGTCCAAACAGTGAGTCTTTTTTCCAAACAATAAGTCTTAAGTAGGGCACGAGCGGTGGGTGTGAGCAGAGGGAGAGAGAGTCACCAGGTTTCTTGTAGAGTAACAGGCCAGTCTTAGGAGTCACTATTCAGTCATCCAACCCTAACACTTGAGTCATTATGAGCGCCTCTTTAGGACAAATTCTTGTAGTTCGAGCAGCTCTAGAGCCAATATAGGTCGCCTTCCTGAGATAGTTAATGAAGAACAATTTTAATATAATTCTAGTAATGATGAACAACTAGATTTAGAGATTGGATATACCTAAAGTCCCAAGTCAAATATTTATAAGAAAAAATGGTCGCTTTCTAGTCTTAATTCTACTACTCATGTTAAGACAGTTGAACAAGTTTATGCTTTAAGTAAAGAACATGAATCATGTCAGTTGCTTAACCTTGAGTCAATTAAGAAACATAAGCATGATGGTAATAATTTCCTGCATATTGGTCTTTTTCAAGTTGCTATTAAGCCGCTTACTAGATTAGGATTAAAGCCTCTATTTTGTTATGTTTGCGTGATGCCAGATTTACTAAGTTTAATGATAGCGTGTTAGGAATGATGAGTCAAGCTTGTGCAATGGTCCAATCCAATTTGATTGTTATCCTGATTTTACTGTGAGTCTAAATGATCCTCATATTCTTAAGACTTTAACTTTGAATATTAAGACTTCTGGTTATAATGTCCTCCCAGGAACCCAAACATTAGCTTTAGTTTATAGAATTTATTATAAAGTTACTGGTACTAATATGAATTTTCAAGCCTTAAATAAGAATCCTAAAGATCAAACACTTTTAATACAAAGTTGCACACCTGATGCCAATATTAGAATTCCCCACACAGTTAAATGGTCTGAGATTAGCCTACCTTATGATTGGACTTTAGTTACTGAAACCCAACCTGTTCCTATCCAACAAAGTTTAAATAATCTAGATTGTGTTCAGCAATATTTAGATGGTACAGTTAAAATTAATTTTGGTAATCAACCTATGTCCACGGTCCAATTATAACAGTTGCCTACACCTAGTCAATCTAAGAGACATGCACCTGCTAGACATTGTTTTGCAGCCTCTTCATCCACCCAGGAAAGAGACTTAGAAATAGAGAAAGCTTTAATTGATTTAAAATTAGAATCTTTGAGAAAAACGTCCCAAGTTAATCACCCGTGTTATGAAGCTCCTCCAATAAGAAATGAGCCCAAACTTGAGTCTCCTCCTACTTCACCAACCCAAACAGATTTCATAGCTAGTGAAGTCAATGCTTATGTCATAGATAATCAGTTAAGAACTCTTAAAAATCTGCACCTTTCAGGATTAATTGGAAATCTCTAGAAAACCATCTTTATGCCCTTGAGAATGAATCTAGAAGAAATAATTATCATACAGTTATTCCTGATAAGAATAAGAGACAAGAAATCTTTAATAACTGGAAAGATTATATGCGGTTTTCCAAAGTTGAAATTTTTTATCTTGATTTTGTTGAAAGTCGCTATATGATCTCTAGTCATATCCTCCTGTAGAAACCATAATTATCAATCATGGTAAGTCAAAAGTAGTTGCAAGTCCTTTTAAAATTGCCGACCAAGCGGATGATAAGAAATTAATTGAACAAAGTAATTATACCAACCAAAGTCTAGTTGTCATAGGAAAACAACTAGACAAAATAAAGTTGACAAACTCTTTCCTTCTGAGCCTAGCCTTAAGTCAAAAGAAAAACCCTTAGTTCAGTTTCAAGAATTGCAGCCCAAACACTCGCTTAAAACTACCACCAACTATGAAAAAGATAGAAGAAATGCTTGAGCAGTTGACCTCAGTCAAACCTGAGAAATCTGGTATTAAGGTCCTAGGTTCCTCCTCAGCCTTAGTTATTCTATCAGATACTGAATCAATAGAAAGTATGGAAACTATTGAGTCTAGTAATATTTCAAAAATTGAAAATGCGTTTAAAATCTAGAATTAGAATCTGAGTTTAAAGTTAAAAGATTAACCAATAGGGTCAGCCCTACTAGCTTAACTAAAAATTGGTATCCTAAACCCACACCTCCTGATATTCAGTTTGAAGAAAGAAATAACCTGAGTCAATTTTCTGTTTCTTCTGATAAATTATATGAATGGAATATAGATGGTATGTCTGAACAAGAAATAATGAATAAGTTAACTCATATGTCTATGGTTGCCAATAGTTATATCACTAATCACAATCTTAGACAATCAAAGATAGTTCCTCTCTTAGAAACTGGTTTCACTGGAACCTTACGTTCATGGTGGGATAAACATTTAACTGATGAGTCTAGACGAAATATAATTCATGCAGTTAAGCTCAATGAAGAAGGTCTCCTTTTATTTGATGAACAAATAGGTCACGGTATAGAAGATGGAGTCAATACCCTCCTCTACACAATAGTTGAACATTTCATAGGAACACCCAGTCATACCCAAGCCAGAATACATGATCAACTAAGTAATTTGAGATGTCCACAATTAAGTGATTTTAGATGGTATAAAGATGTTTTTATTTCCTAAGTCATGCTTAGAGAAGATAGTAATCAAGCTTTTTGGAAAGAAAAATTATAAATGGATTGCCTACTTTATTTGCCCATAAAATAAGAACCGTCTTGAGTAATGAGTTAGGACATATAGATTATGGTAATTTAACTTATGGTAATATAATTAGTACAATTAATCAAGAAGGAATGAAAATGTGTATTGATATGAAAATTAATAAGCAATTACAGTCTGAGAGAAAATTTGCGAAATATGAGCTAGGTAATTTTGTGAACAATATGGTTTAGCTGCTATTCCCCTTCTAGGAAAAACAGGTCTAATTATCCCAGTCATATTCTTAAAAAACGTCATTATACCCGTCAAAACAACCATTCCGACAACATAATGAGAATAATGAATTCTATAAGAAAAAGAAGTTTTTCCCAAAGAAAAATCGATCAAAAGCACCGAAATATGAGAAAAATAGTCTCTTTGAGAAAAGTACCGACAAAAGAAAAGTAAAATGTTATGAATGTCAAAAGTTTGCTCACTATGCTAATGAGTGTAAAGTAAAAGATACTATCAAACAATTAAAAATCACGGATGTAGAAAGAGACAATTTAATTAAAGTCCTAGAATTACGTGATTCTGAGTCCAGTTAAAACGAAACTATGATTAGTAATACTGAGTCAGATTATGAGTCATCTGGTTCTCAATTAAGCTCACCTCGAGTCCAGCTAGAATGTCGAGATAAATGTTGCAACACTTTAAAATCCATCTCTGTTTTAACTAAGCAAGAAGAACAAGAAGAGTTGTTGATAGATCTGATTAGTAAGGTAGAAAATCCTGAGTTAAAATATGAGTATTTAAGAAAACTTCGAAAAGTTATTAGTCAAGAAGAAAACACAAGTCATTCATCCAACAATAAGTCTCAATGCTACTTTAGAAAGGTTTCATAAAAAGAAAGAAGTTACCCTACAAGACTTGCATTCTGAAGTAAAAATAGTCAAACAAGAGATAATTGAGTTAAAACAACTAAGTCAAAAGTTACAATATGAGAATTATGAAATTAAACAAAACATAATCTCCTTATTAGAAAAAGAATCCTCTGAGTCAAACAGCCAACCTGGCAGGCCAGCCAACTCTGATCACGGGTCTTCCCACAATGAGCAAACTATAATTTAGTTAAACAAGTTATTTTAGAAAATGGTATTCAAAGGTTACTATAGTTGTCAAACACTTTGAATTTAACACAGTTGCTTTATTTGATTCAGGAGCCGATCTTAATTGCATAAAGGAAGGATTAATTCCTACTAAATATTCTAAGAAATCAAAAGAGTCTCTAAGTACTGCTTCAGGAAAGTCACTCCAATTAAATTATGAGACCCAAAAGCCCATGTCTGTCAAAATAAGATTTGTTTTAAAAACTTCGTTTGTCTTAATTAAGAACATAACTGATGAGGTTATTTTAGGTTTACCCTTTATAAGTCTTTTATATCCTCTTCAAGTTGAATTTGATGGTGTCGTTTCAAGTCATTTAGGAGAAAGAGTTAAATTTGAGTTTTTAACTAAACCGGAGTTACATAATTTAAAGGCCCTACAGAAAAACATAGTCGCTAAGACAATTACCT